CCCACCTCTGTGAAGTGTGTCCCCTCCCCCCATGGGCCCACCTCTCTGAAGTGTGTCCCCTCCCCCCATGGACCCATCTCTGTGAAGTGTGTCCCCTCCCCCCATGGACCCATCTCTGTGAAGTGTGTCCCCTCCCCTGTAGACCCACCTCTGTTAAATGTGTCCCCTCCCCCATGGACCCATCTCTGTGAAGTATGTCCCCTCCCTCTTGCATCTATCTTTCTGAGTGTGTCCCTTCCCACCACATGTGTCCCCTTCCTACCCTGGAGCCACCACTGAGTATATTTCTGTCCCCACTCTCCCTTGCTTCCAAACAGGGTTCAATAATAACCAAGGCAGAGGTGACCTGGCCACCATTCGAGGCATGCACCGGCCCTTCCTGCTCCTCATGGCCACTCCACTGGAGAGGGCCCAGCATCTGCACAGCTCCCGCCATCGCCGAGCCCTCGACACCAGCTACTGCTTCAGGTGAGCCCTTCCAGACAGGCCTCGATCCATCCTGGTCACCAATCACTCTGGATTGGGTACCTGCTGTGTCCTGCTGGACATCTCCTTCAATGCAGACGACATGAGAGATGAAGTCTGTCTTAGTTTTGTAGTGCTACCATAGCAGAAATACCACAAGTGGACTTCTTTATAAAACAGAAGTCTCTTAATGGTATAAGAGGCAAGAAGTCTGAATTCAGAGTGCCAGCTCTAGGGACAGGCTTTCTCTTTCTACTGGCTCTGGAGGAAGGTCCTGTCTCTTCTGAGTCTCTGCGCCTTCACGTGGCCCAGCGTCTCTTCCTGTCTGCTGTCTAGCTTGCTTCTTCAGTGACTTATAGCTCAAAAGAAATTGCCTGAAAATCCACCCATTCGCTCACGTGGCTGCATTACTGTCACAAAGACAACACATTTAAGGGACACAGCTCAGGCTATAACATTCCACCCATTGTTGTCATTGTTGTGGGGTGCCATTCAGTCAACTCCAATGCGTCACGACCCTGTGAACAGATCGGAACCTTGCTCTGTCCTGCACCATCCTCACATTGTGTCTAGCTCAAGCCCTGTCCGTCTTGTTGAGAATCTTGCTCTCCTTCGCTGGCCCTCTATTTTGCCAGAGATGATGCCTTTTTCCAGAGACTCCTGATAATATGTCTCAGGTATGTAAGATGGAGTTTCAACCATCTTTGCCTCTTAGGAGTGCCCTGGTTGTGCTTCCTCTAAGACACAGGATTATTCTTTTGGTGGCTTATTGTGTATTAAATCGTCTTTTCTGACACCACAGGTCAGAGGCATTAACTCTTCTTTGTCTGCCTATTCCTTGTCCCAATTTGCAGGGAAAGGAAGTTGCATAGGAAGCAACTGGAAATACCGTGGCTTGCATCAGTGCATCTTAGTCTTTAAACTGACATCCTTGCTCTTCACTTTGGAGAAGATTTTCCCCAATGCAGATCTGCCCTTTGGCCTCCACAGGTTCATGCCCTTGCCACATATAAAACACATTCACCCCATACCAAATAATCTTCAATCTATCCCAGATCCAAAAGCTCAACTTCTCTGTGCTGTAATCCTGAAGGCACGTGGTTCGAATCCACAATGTGCTCCACTGGAGAAGGAGAGGCAATCTCCTCCTGTGCCGGTCAGATCCGATTCAATGGTACACAACAAGGAAAAAACCAAAACCAAACCAGAAATAATAACCAGTTGATAATATAGGTGGAGCTTTAGGTTTGTTCCACCTTGGGGCAAAATTCCTCCTCATTTGTGAGCCTGTGATATCTAGGCTATGGTTGTCTGTCCCTCAGTCACCTCAGTGGGACAGACCCAAGGTGGACTTTGCTATTACACGTGAGAGAAATTGGAGGAAAAGAAGGGGTGATGACACTATGTAAGCAGATCCAAACCCCAGTCGAACAATAGACATCAGCTCTCGAGGAATAAAAATAATCCTGTTTGGAGACTGAGCGGCCAGTGGCCTTGCCCTCTAGATTCTGGGTGTTGGGTGGAAGTCTCTCAGCTCCGGGCTTTCAGCTCCACCTTCCAGGGCCGCTGGGATGCCAACTCTGCGCCTTTGGTATCCTCGGCTTCATTCTCCTAGTCCGTCTGTGTGATGAACATCACCCTCCGCCGTTAGCCAATCCTGTGCTCATCATGCTCTTGCAGAGCTTCACAAGCGCCTTTAACGTCCCCATTTCTAGCAACATTCTCTTACTTGTTGGCATGTTGTTGTAGTTGTGTGCAGTGGAGTTGGATCCGACTCCTAGCTGATCCTCTAGTGGGATTTCAGAGGCAGTTGGCACAGGAGGAGATGCCCTTCTTTCTCCCACGGAGTAGCTGGTGGATTTGAACTCTGTGTTTGGGGTTCTTTACCACTAGGCCACCAGAGCTCCCTACTTGTTCCCATATGGGACCATACTGTTAGAGAATACTTACTATTCTGCCAGATAATAGACTTTCTTCATAGTTCTCAATTCTTTTAAGCCCGAACCAGAATTACTTTTGATGTCCACAATTCAACCACCGAATAGTGTCTTCAAGGAAATTTAGGGTTTTACAGGCCATGGTCTTTGCAATCACTTGTTACGCATCGGAGAGTTGGACAATGACCAAGGAGGATAGAAGGAAAATTGATGCCTTTGAGCTGTGGTGCTGGAGAAGAGTATTGAGAATACCATGGACTGCTAGAAAAACAAACAGATTTGTCCTGGAGAGGGTTAAACCGGGTGGCTCCTTGGAGGCAAGGATTCTGAGGCTCCGCTAACTTACTTTGGACATGTTGTGAGGAGAGACCGGTCCTTAGAGAGGGACATCATGCTTGGGAGGGTGGAGGGACGGCGCAGGAGAGGAAGGCCCTCTATGAGGTGGATTGATTCAGTGACTGGGATAATCGGGATGGGAGTGTCAGAGACTGTGCAATTGGCACAAGACAGAGCAGAGTTTAAGGTTGCTGTACATAGGGTCGCTATGAGTCGCAAGCGACTTGACGGCACATAACAACAACAACAATAACTATTTGTGGTTGTTACGAGGTGCTATTGAGTCAAGTAAGACTCATAGTGACTCTGTCAAGAACAGATGTGAACCCGCCGATCCTGAGCTGTCCTTACGGGCTGTGCTCGAGCCCACCGTTACCACCACGTCAGTCCCTCTTGTTGAGTGTCTTCTCCGTCTCGGACCCTCTACCCTTTCCCATCCTGATGTCTTTTTCCCAGATCTGCTGCTGTTGGTATGTACTGTCTAGTCACAACCACCTCATAGCTGACCCTTCAGGGATTTTCAGAGGCCGTAAATCACATCGGAGGAGATTGGCCTGTGATCTCCTGAAGATCTGAACTGCCGTTGACGCCCCATTTTAGCACAACTCCCTCTGCAATGAAGGCTCTAGGGGAAGGCTTCTCTCTGGAGGAAGGTCCCTGTCCCTTGTGTCTGCTACACAGTTGTCATGTGGCGTGGCATCTCTTTTTGTGTCTGCTGCCTGCCTTATTTACTCTATTTACTTATTTACTGCTTGCTTATTTACTCTATTCTATATCTCCCAAGTGTGATTAAGTCTAGATGTGTTACACTAATCCTGCCAGATTAGTATAACAAAGACAACCCATCCCTAAATGGGATGAGGGTGACAGCATGGAGGCTAGCATTGACAGCACGTGTTTGTGGGGACACAGTTCAATCCATAGCAAGGTGTATGTGTTAGAATGCTGTACTGTTGGAACTAGGGGTCTTAGAATGTTGGAATAAGGTTACTTTTTTGCTGAGGTATTGGAATGATGACAATTTGAATATTTCAACAGTGAGCAAGTTTGATTTCAATTCTAGAAGGTTACTTATGTCGAGACCTGTATTGGTTGGTTGATGTTCTAGAATGTTGGAATTCTAGACTGTGAGACTTCCATGTTAATTCTTGGGCTCTAGGGAAGTTGAAATGGTGGGACATCCTAGGTTACTCATGTCCACATTGGACTTATGTTGACAGATTGTATTTCCAAACAGTGGCAAGTTGGAGTCTTTAAAAAATTGGGCTCAGAATGGTGGAATTCTGTGCTAAAATACTTAGATCCACAAGTGTTGACATCAAAGAGAGACAGAATGTTCTGATCCTGGAAATGTTGGGACACCATTTTAGAATGTTAGTCTTAGAAAGCTGGGATTTTTAGAAAGTTAAAAATTGACCTACTTAAGTAATCAGTTCAGAAAGGTAGAATATGGGTGTAATGTTGAAATGATTCCGTATTCCCAGGACCTCCCAGAGCTGTCAGGTGTGAATCTTAGAAAGCTAGAGTCATTTCTGGACTGTTGGGACCCTTAAATGCTGGTATCTCAGGTTGAAATGTTGGCATCTCTGTTGTTATTGTTAGGTGCTCCCGAGTCGACTGCAATGCAAAGTGACCCTGTGGCCAACAGATCTGAACCTTCCTCATCATCTCTGATATACCTGACCGCATTGTTGGAATCACTTGTCAGGAGGTTGAACTTCAAGCTTAGACTGTTGTAGACTTAGAAGGAAAATTCCCCTTGTCCTTCTCTTGTGTAAACTGTTCTGGGGTATTTCAGGCTTTGCAGAGATGCCTTGGATGGTGTAAAGGGTCTGTGCTCAACTGCTAACCTAAGAATTGGTGTTTTGAAACCACCCAGCAGCTTTATGGAAACACACACTGGCAGTCTGCTTTCATTGAGGTCATGGTCAAAACCCCTCAGAGTTCTTCTCTGTAACATCATGAATGTGAATAGATGTTAGGGCAGTGAAGACCCTCCCGTTCCTAGGCTTTGTCACATGCTGTTCCCCCACCCTGGAGCTCGCTCATCTGTAGATCTCAGCAACCTCTGTGAATGAATGAATTGTAGCATCAGCACCAATGTAAAAACCAAAAAAGACAACAAAAAAACTCAGCCCAACAAACTTGAACTCATTGTTGTTGAGTCAGAACCAATTTTTCACTGACTCTCCCTCAGATTTCCAGGACTGTAAATTGCATGGGAGGAGATTGCCCATCTTTCTCCTTGGGAGCTGCTCGCTGATGGATTTGAACGGCCACAGTGAGGTCTCTGGGTTATTAGCGCAGCCCTGTACAGGCTGTCACCAGAGCTCCCTTGAGCACCAGTAGCACCAATGTTAAAAAGAGAGACCACCAGCCCCACCATAGGCTCTAACCGTAACTACCAGTTTTCAAGAAATTTGAGAACAGAGGAGCATATTAACTAGCACCATTGGCATACAGTCAGCAGAGTGAAGGTTATGGGAAACTTGTCCTGGTTCCACAGTGCTGGGACAACAGAGGAGAGGAAGAGAGAGAGGATTCTGTAGATTTTTAAAAGACTCTTAAGTATATCAACCTGAAGTCTTTGTTTGAATCTCTACTTATTCAGATCACTAAAAAAAAAGACCTAAGACAGTTGAATAACAGGGAATTTACTGGATATTTGATGATAATCAAGGATGATTGTTCATTATTTTTTAATGTGTTACTCTGTTTGTGTTTTCAAAT